AAAAATCAAAAACAAAAATGCCAGGCATAGTGGTGCACACCTGTGGTTCCAGCTACTTGGAAGGCTGAGGTGAAAGGATCACCTGAGCCCAGCAGGTGGAGGCTATATTGGCCACGAGCATGCCTGCAGCACTCCAGCCTGGGCGACTGTGAGATTCTGACTCAAAAAAAAAAAAAGATGATTTTGGAGATCTTGCTCTATCATGTTCTCTCTTTGGTCAAACTGAATAAAACTTTTTCAGTCTCAAGCACTGGTGTCTCAGTGTCTGGCTTCAAATGTGCATCAGCTACACAAGTCTGAATTTGAGGTTCCACAACAAGACCTTGAATCAGTCAGGGTCATGGCAGGAAACAAAAGGTAGACTCGGCTGTTTGTTCTTTTTTTAAAAAAGAGAATTTAATGAAGAGTATGGACATTAAGGAAAACCACGTGGGGTGTTGAGGCATCCTGGGACCAGATGAAAGCCATTACTATCCCAGGCTGAGGGGTAAGGGGAAGAAACAGGGTTGCCAGAGCTAGTAAAGAGGGTTACGGCAGGAGCTGTAGTTACGAAGGGGGTAAAGGTAGGGGATGGAGGAAGCACAGCTATCGCCAAAACTGCAGTGCCCATCTGGACAGGAGCCAGGGAGAAATACCCCAACTTCTCTCTTTTCCCGTCTCCTGCTGGTACCTCCCATTAGCCAAATCCAGCCGGAAGCCAGGGGCCATGGAAACCCAGTGATGCCCTCCATACAGGCAATCCCCCGGGCACAGAGGAGAGAGGAACAGGGAGGGCAGAGAACAACCAGCACAGGCCTAATTCAGGGACAGGAGCCATCCTGCCTTGAGCAAATATCCTACCAAAATGCCTTCAGGAAATGCAGGGCATCATGAGAATTTGCCCATGTAATTTGACAATATTATGGTACAAATAACAATGAATATTATAGAGGCTATTTAGTGGAGTCTTTTTTTTTTAAGTGCCTTCATCCACTTCTGTCTCACACCAATTTTCTGTTTTGGAATGTGTGTGTGCTATAATCAGGGGCTCCTCTCTCCCCACATCAGTCCAGATCCTATCAAATCATACTCAATTAGGACAACTTGTGTAGCATTTAATAAAAGGACTATTTACTTAGGAGCGGGCAGAATACTGCCTCATACCTCTGGGCTGATAATATCAGAGCTGTCACTACCCCTAGACCTAAAGAGGCCAGAGGAGGAAGCCGTTGCCCAGGCTGACTTGGGGACTGTGTGAAGATGGCCACCCAACAGGACCCGAGACCTCTGGATGGGAACAAGGTCAACCAGCAGGGACCCTATACGGAGGGAATGAACATCCTGACTTCACTCTCCTCCCTTCCTCTAAAACCCACTGGGCTCCTCATTGGCTAGACCCAATCAGATGCCAGAGGATGAGGCTCGTCTCCAGGGCCCAGGGCAGGATGGAGAAAGGTGAAGAGGCAAATAAAAGGGTCTACCGCTCTCCTTGCCAAGGGGATGGTCAAAATGAGCCAAGCAAGGTCAGTGGGATGGTTGCTCCCCCTCCTGGAATCTGGCAGACAGACAAAGCCATAGACCTGTCCATTGAGCAACAGCATCCTGACAGACTGTCCCACCAAAGGACCACCTTCCAGAGCTTGGAGCAGCCTCAGCCTCCACCCATGCCAGTTCAGACTCCCAGCAAAGCCTCCCAACAAAGTCAGAGTTGGGGTCTCCTACAGGAAATGAAAGAATCCTGGCACAGACATCTTCGTGCATACGAGTCAGCTCTCTTTCAAAAAGATAACAGGCAGAACAAACTGATCTCCGGAGAGCTGAGAACCAAGCTCAGGGATTTGCAGTCCCAGCCTGAGCTTGTATCACCCAGCACTGCAATTGCCAAGTCATCAACAGCAGCCAGAGATCCTAGGAACCAGGAATGGATTATTCCTGCTCCTGCTTCTCAAATCATTATCTCCCAAAATGAAGCCCAGGACAGCCTATTGTATCAGTTAAACCAAGGTCATGTGCCTTCAACCAAATGCAAGGAAACCTGGGAATGGGAGCACCCAGCATTCCAGGTAGGAGAGGAACCCCCAAACATGGGAAGACGTTTCCCATGGGCAGCCAACAGATAACGTCTACTAATTAGATAATGTAACATTTTCAGTACATCAGAGTATTTCCTTCAAATAAAGATTACTGACTCTTGGCATGTACTGTCTCATTTCTATCCTAAACGAATGAAAATAATTTCCAACCCCATTCAGCAAACAGTGCCTACTTTGCCACACCTGCACACATTATCACAGAAATATATAAAACTAATTAGCAAAATATGATTGACACCTCATCCTAATTCTCTCTCTCCCTCTTCCCCTCCCTTTGCCCCCCCCCATACTTGACTTCGGACACATTTTATTATTTGTTTTGATGACTGATTTTTCATTATTTTCCTTTTTGTAGCCCTGTGCTAAAATTAGCTGGCATTTGGTGAAAGAAGAGATTAGGATTAGATTCAGCTGTGTGTAACAGGAAACAAAAACAACAGAGGCTTAAACTACATAGAAGTTCTTTCTCTTCCACATAAAAGGCCTGAAGAAGGGCAGTCCAGGGCTGCCCTTGGACCCACTCCACAATGTCATGAGAGTTTGCCAGCTCCCCCTCTGCCATCCCCCAGTGAAGCCTCACCTCCACTGATCAAGGTGTTGGCAGGAGCCTCAGCAGAACAGAGGGCAAGATGAAGACAGACTAGCCGCCTACTTTACAACACATCTGTGTGCATCTTATTGGCCAAAATTCAGATGTGAGACCTTACCTAGCTACAAGGAAGGGTGAACAATGAGCCCAGATAAACATCAGAATTTTACTACTCAGAACTAAGGGAAGAATGAATATTTAAGGGCAGCCAAGTATCTCTTCCATAGACAAAGATAAAAATTATGTTGAAGGCCGGGCTCGGTGACTCAGTCTGTGATCTCAGCACTTTGGGAGGCCGAGGTGAGTGGATTGTCTATGTCTTCAGGTTTGAGTCCAGCCCAGGCAACTTGGCGAGACCTCCTCTCTACAATAAATCAAAACTTAGCCAGGTGCGGCAGCGTGCACCTGTAGTTCCAGCTACTTGGAAGGCTGAGGTGGAAGGATCGCCGGAGCCCAGCAGGTCAATGCCAGGGTGGCCATGAGTGTGCCACTGCACTCCAGCCTGTCTGCACTCTCACAGGGTGAGACTCCCACTCAAAAAAAAAAAAATCAAACAAAAAAAAAATTGAAGACAACCCATCCATATGAGAGCAATCATGATGATGATGGTGGTGGTGATAATGATGATAATAGCTAAAACTTACTAAATAGTTACTAATTGTGGGCACTATTCAAGACACTTGATATGCATTACTTAATCCTTACCACACCCTTATGAAGTAGACACTAGCCTCATTTTACAAAGGAGAAAGCTGAGGCCCAGAGAGACCGGGCAACTTGTCCAAGGTCATCCAGCTAACAGATGGCAGAATCTAGATTGGAACTGAGGCAGCCTGGCTCAAGAAGCCCCAGGACAAGACACAGCTCTTACCAGCAATCACAGAACCTCATCAAGGAGGCCAGTGGGGCTCTTCCAAGGGGTATACACATGGACTCATGAGTGGAGGGAACAGACCTCGGCCAGAGAGCTGCCTCTTCACTCTGCCTCTGAGCACTTCATTCATTCATCCATTCAACAAATGTCCTTTCACAACACACACTACATTTGTAATCCACTGTCCAAAGCCTGTGCCTGCCACTCCTTGGGGCAGATACTGAACCCTAGCAGCCAGCACAAAGTACAGCACACCACAGTGCTCGAAAGATATTCATTCCATGAGTAAATGTATGTTTCAGGCCCACCCTGTGCCAGGCTCTGTGATGGGCGCTGAGTGAGCAGAGATGAAAGGCAGATCCTACCCACTGCCACTCATGGCCAAGAAGAGGAGGCAGACGGGTGGGCACAGTGCAAAGGTATGGGACCTCCATGGTGAGAAGTCTGGAACAGCTGGACTACAGCTTATGGGTCACAGTAATAAGGACGAGGTCCTCACGTTAGGCCAGAGCCAGATTTGAAACTCCTTTCATGTCCAAGGTGAAAACTGTAGCCTCAGCTCTGAGGCAACAGAGAGCCATGGAGGTAAGCAGAGTCACACAATTCTAGTGGCCATCTAGAACTCTTCTGGAGGTGTACCAAGGACAGAAGGAAGAGAGACCAGAAGCAGGGAGATTCAGATGGAGAGTCTGAGGGGGGCATGAGGGCCTAAGTGAGGGGTCTGGAAGCAGGGAGGAGGGGTGGAGTGAGGAGAAACAAAAGAGGCCCCATACCGGGTGTGTGTGAGCCAGACAGATGGGCCAGGGAACTGTGGGAGGGGAAAAGAGGGGGCCTGAGGTGGCCAGAGCCAGGGGGGGTTGGGAGGGGGGGCTGGAAAGGGGCCCTGGCTTGAGCTGGGGCAGACAGAGCAGTTGGACGGCGGCAGCCTTGTGCTCATGGCTCAGAAATGTCCCAGGCCTGCCAGGAGACTGCCTGGCCCTGCTGCTCCCGCCCCCCTCCCCCAGGCCCAGCCAGGCTCCCACATCAGGAGCTCTGAAGCTGTCTCCCCACCAGTCTTCTGCTCCCCCAGAGCAGGCCTCCGCTCCCCAGAACCCAGGCCTACCTACGCTCCCACTTTCCCCCTTAGCCCTCCCCATCAAGAGCTGATGAAACACTGGCCAGGGAAGGAGGAGGAGAGAATAAACAGACTTCTGCAGGGGGCCCATCAAGAGGCAGAGGGTGGGCTGGGGCCAGCTGGGGGTACCAGGGGATCCATGGGTCCAGTGGGGCGGATGGCGGAATGGGATCCAGGGAGCAGCTGGAGCCAGCAGGGAGTTAACGTCTGTAGTGCTTTGCCCAACAGGCCTAATGAGACACAGGTGGTCCCCTGGCCCCAGCCCCACCTCCCTGCCCGATAGTGTAAGCTGATGCTGGTTGTCTGGGGAGGGGAGAGGGGGGTTCTGCAGTTAAGGGGGCGTGGCTGGGGCGGCTGGCGGGGGCCCAGCACATAACTCTGGGCGGTTGCAGTCTGGGGCTGCAGACACCCAGCCGCCCTGAGCTGAACTGACAGCATGAAGGTACTGGGCTCAGGGTGGGGACTCATGGCACTGGGGGATGGAGCCCACTCCGTGGAAAGAGGCCATTTTCCAGAGGGGGGACTATGAAGGCACAGGAGCTCTCTTGAAACTCTTGAGCCATGAGGCTGTTGAGCTTGTCCCAGAGAGCGGGGTTACTCGGGAGGGGAGAAGGGACCAGAGGGCAGGAGAGGGATTCAGGCAGGGGGTGGTAGGCAGGGAGAACAGGGGGCCGCTGGGGCAAGGGCTGCACTGACCCAGGTCTTCCGTCACCAGCCCCTCCTGGTCCTGCCGCTGCTGCTGCTTCTCTCCACACCTCCCTGTGCCCCCCAAGCCTCCGGGATCCGGGGAGATGGTAAGCAGCCCCACACTCACAGAGGCAGCCTAGCCAACAGGCCGGCCTCAAGGCTGAGGCCCGGCTCTGCAGGACTGTTTCCTCCTCTGCAGAATGAGGCAGGTGGAAGACATGAGCTTCGTGCAAGCCGCTTGAAAAAAATCTTGTGGTTTATTGTGACTGAATCTCCGCCCCCAGGGACCGAGGCAAACTGTGGGGTGCTGAGGTGTCGGTGATGCCTTGGTCCTTCTCTCCTCATTGTCCCAGCTCTGGAGAGGTCTTGCCTTCAGCAGCCCCTAGACTGCGACGACATCTATGCCCAGGGCTACCAGGCAGATGGCGTGTACCTCATCTACCCCTCAGGCCCCAGCGTGCCCGTGCCCGTCTTCTGCGACATGACCACTGAGGGCGGGAAGTGGACGGTGAGTGGCAGGAGGGGACAGAGGTCAGACCTGGTTCTAGTCCTAGCTGTGTGGCCCTGGGCTTCACTTCTGTGAGCCTCCGTTTCTTCATCTTTAAAATAGGGATATTCCTAAGTGCTTGAGGTAGGTGAATGCACATAATCCGCACAATAGTCCTAGGAAGTAGGTACCTTTTCTAAGAGGAACTGAAGCCCAGAAAGTGATAGAACTTGTCTCAGGTCGTACGCAGTCAGGTACTCGAACTCAAGAATGCCCCTTTTAGCCTCTTTCCTGCCTCTCCTTGGGTGAAGAACCCGGGTGGGTACTCAGCAGTTGCTCTGTGGTGCCTGTATGCACTTGCTTTAGTCACCCCCCAACCCCCACTCAGTTCTTTAACAAACTGGCCACAGCATCCCAGGGTCCATGCCTGAGGTGGGCGGGGCAGGGATCTTGCCTTGCCCACTGGACTCCTGATGGTCCAGTCTCATCCTATCGCTCCAGGTTTTCCAGAAGAGGTTCAATGGCTCAGTGAGTTTCTTCCGGGGCTGGAACGACTACAAGCTGGGCTTCGGCCGTGCTGATGGGGAGTACTGGCTGGGTAAGGCAGGGCCAGGTGAGCCGAGGGGCTGCCCCAGGGCCAGCTCCCTGCTGATCAGCAGCTCCCTCCTCTGCAGGGCTGCAAAACCTGCACCTCCTGACGCTGAAGCAGAAATATGAGCTGCGAGTGGACCTGGAGGACTTTGAGAACAACACTGCCTACGCCAAATATGTCGACTTCTCCATCTCCCCCAATGCAGTCAGCGCGGAGGAGGATGGCTACACCCTATACGTGGCAGGCTTCGAGGACGGCGGGGCAGGTATCCCCTCTGTCAGGGAGAGAAGGCAGGGCTGGCGCTGGGGGGTCAGTCTCTGACCCCTTTTGGCCCCTCCTTCCACCCCCCTGGGATGGGAAGGGCCACAGCTGGCTCCAAACCAGCTTAAACCAGGCTGGGCCTCGGCCCTGGGGAGCAGCCGCCCTGGCCCTGCTCCAGGCAACCCTGTGGAGGAGCAGCTGTTTCTCTTCACTGCAGAAGCACATCTACCCAACATATGGCTCAGGGAGGGTGCCCCCATCCAGCCAAGCTGCCACATGGTGCCTCTCACAGTGTCGCTTTTCAGTCACCCTCTCCCTGCCAGCTCAGGGCTCAGCTCCCTGCTTCAGCAGCCCCATCCCTCTTGCTCTGCCAGGTGACTCCCTGTCTTACCACAGTGGCCAGAAGTTCTCCACCTTCGACCGGGACCAGGACCTCTTTGTGCAGAACTGTGCGGCCCTCTCCTCAGGAGCCTTCTGGTTCCGCAGCTGTCACTTTGCCAACCTCAACGGCTTCTATCTGGGTGGCTCCCACCTCTCCTATGCCAATGGCATCAACTGGGCCCAGTGGAAGGGCTTCTACTACTCCCTCAAGCGCACCGAGATGAAAATCCGCCGGGCCTAAGGGGCTGGCCCCATCAGGCCTCCTTCCTCCCCTGGTCACCTCAGATCTCCATGAGTGCTCCCTCTGCCACTCCCCCGCCCACACACACTTCAGGGCCCGATGCCTTGCTTCTTCTCCCTGATCACCAGCTTCTCACAGGGGCCCTGTGGCTCTCAGCCAAGGCTGAGCGCCATCACACACCCAGGGCATCTCTGAGTCGGGCCCTGCCCCCCTGCACCTGAGGCTACGCAGCCAGCAGCTCCCCGGGCCTTTGCCGAGAGGCACAGCTGTCGCATCCTGGACCTGGCTGGGGTCCACGAGACTGAGTTGCCTCCGCCCTGTTCCAATTGCCGAGAGCCAGGAGCCGCCCTCCCAGCTGCAGGCTTTGTGTTCCATCTTGCCCAGCTTCCTTACTGTGGGCCCGTCTGGGGCTAGACTGAGCAGTGCAGCCTGACGAGGGCCCAGAGTGTATCCCATACCACCTCAGCACTCCCTCTGGCTGCTCTCAGACTATATGTCCCATCTTTGTCCTCCCTCCCATCCACTCACTCCCCTCTGGTGAGCCCCATGAACCCCCCGCCCATCTCACTATCATACTCAGCTTCCCCTGCCTGCCCATCCCAGCCCTGAAGCTCAGTGTCAAAATGGTATTCACCACAGCTGCTGTACACCCTGCTGGAACAGCCACAGCCAAGGTAGGCATGCATACAAGGACCTCCAGCCCCCCAGCCCCCCCGGGGGTTGATTTGGCCATGTGAGGGGACAGAAGACAATCTCTGAGGCTGGGAGCGGGTAGGGAGTGGAGGTCTCAATAAACCTTCAGGACCTGTGTGAATTGGCTTCGTGCACACAAACACTATTTGTTTGGTTTCCAAATGTGGGTACCTGGCTCCTCCCTGCTTCCCTACTAATGGCGTCCTGCCCTCAACTCCAAAATTACACCTGGAGTCAGGCACTGTAGAGAACCTTGTATTTCACAGGCCTCAGTTTGATGACGAAGACTGTGTAATAACAACATTATAATAAAAATACAATACTGAAAAGGATCACTTGGGGGAGTCGCGGTCTCCCGATCCCGTCATGGCTCGGTGGTGGCTCAGGTGGCTGCTTAAGGCTGAAGGGTGGGTCTGAGATGAACCTGCAGAATGATCCAAGCTGAGCCTCACCTACCAGCCCAGGACTGAAGGCTTCAGGAATGCTCCCATGGGCCCTGAAGCTGAGTCTGCCCTGGCAGCAAGGCACAGACTGTGGACCTCAAGGGTCCTGGAGGTCGGGCAGGTCAGCCAGAAGCATCGGGGAGTCCATCTGGATCTCACGCTGCAGAGACTCAATGTCGGCAGGGTTCATGCCATGGCCCTCGAGCCAGTCAGCAAGCAGGGAGGCTGAGAGTGAGGCTGAGTCTGCCTGGCTGCAGGGGAAGGGAATCAGACAGAGTGGAGGGAAGAGTGCTGTAAACCTTAGGCTGGATGCTCACCCATCCCACAGGCGCACTCTTGCATTAGAAACCCCTCCCCACAGCCCCGTTCCAGCTCTGTCCAGCCACCTTACCCATCCTGTGGCCCATCAGCCACGCCCATGTCAAAAGATTGGTTTAAGAATTCCTCCAGATCAAAACCAACACCGTAGCCAGCTCCACTACCCTTTGGCGTGCCCGAGAACACAGGGGGCAAGGGGTCCTCCACCTGCAGGGGAGAATGGCAAGTTATAACACAGGTGCTGGCAAAGGCAGACTGAGGTCTACAGGACACCCTGCCCGGATGCTGCTGACTACTCCACCTGGATACCCAGGCATGCTAACACCACACTTGGCAATCACAGAGTGCTGGCTGAGGTCTATTTGTCTCTCCACAATCTCCTCATTGGCATTATACTCTTACTATAAACAAGGGGACGAGTTCCGAGAGAGAAAGCCTTTAGGTGCTTCGTCTTTATGGAACAAGGATGACTTTCCAAATCCATTTTCCTTGGACCCAGATCCAGGTGTCCCCATGGTCTGGGTCTCCCCCTCACCTGTGACTTGGACAGCTGCTGGGTCACCAGGTTGACATCAGGTGACTCTGATGTGGAAGGCTGAGGGGGCCCTCCAGGATCTGGAGGTGGTGGGCCAGATGGGAAGTAAGGCAGAACTCCTGAGGCGCTGGGGCCAGGCAACCCCGGGGGTGGCACAAGCGACTGGGGGGCCAGGAGGCTGGTGGGGGTGGCAGTCTGGAGTGGCACAGGAATGGGCCCAGGAGGGCCGTTAGGGTGGGGAGCAGGGCCAGGGGGTG